GAAAGATGACTTTTAGGAAAGATGACTAAAACCCGAATCTGCTAGGTTGGGAAATTTTTTTCGGCCGCTAAATTCTAGCCCAATGGATCACGAGGATATTGGTAGTTTTCCTGGGTCGTTATTTTTAATTGGTTGTTTACGTTTTGGTAGAAAATAAAGGTTGTTTAGCGTCAAATTTGGGTCAGCTTGTTTGGGAGTTCTCAAGGAAAGTTCGACGTCTAGCTACTCGGCCGCTTTTAGAAATCGAACTGGTAGCTTTTAGGCGATAGTTTCCAATCAACTTTTAACCCTCGAAAACCCAATAATGACCAAATTATAAGATTACAAAAACTCCAAAACTTGGGGCAACTTTTAGCAAATCCATTTTCCAGAGCGCGTCAAGGAGGGAGCCCGCGAAGGAGCGCAATGAATGGCTTGAAGGTCGAGGAGCCAAGCGTAAGATGCCATTTTCGATTCGAATCTTTTTTTCTTTCAGAATCCGTGAAGCAGGGAGCCCAGGCCGTTGGAGAGACCGTTGGCGAGGGTGTTGGTGAGTTTCTACAACTGTCAGGATTTTTTTCTGGCCCAAAATCTGCTTTAATGCGGCTTTTAATGTGCAATTTTTCAGAGACCGTCAAGGAGGGAGCCAAGGATGGAGCCGAGGCTGTCGCCAGGAAGGCCGGAGAAGCTGGAGGTCAGTCTAAACATCTACAACCTGGAAATTCGGGTTTAAAACCTTTTTGCCCATCCTTCGAAATCTTCTAGGATTTACCGCCGGACTTCTCCGCGGAAAAAGGGAGACGAGAGGTTAATAAAAACACCCAAAAAAGATTATGCTTTCCACACCACCTCACCCTTTGTCTAGAAATTTCCACAGGTATTTCAATAAAGTTCAAAGCAATTTATATTTTTAATTAATACTGGCGATCAAGCAAAAAAAAATATTTTAACTTTACCTTAATTCCTCTAGTCGCTTCCCCACGGGTCGTAGCCTAATCCCACGCAGCAAAGATACAAAAACTAAATTATTAATGGTTATCCATCACCGAATTAAAAACGGCTTTACTAACATCACATATTTTAACTAAAACGCCCGGGTGTAACCGATTACGTGGTGAAATTTTAGAAACCGTCGCTCACTCGGCCAAGGAAGGATACGAAGAGGGCAAGGAAGCTGCTGGTGGGTGGATTTTAACTTTTAGAACTTTTTCTTCTTTAGCAAAAATTTTTGGCATCTAAAAACCAATTTATAGAGACCTTCGGTGAAACTGTGAAGGACGGCTTCATGACCAGTGTCAACGCTGTCCGGAAGCGCAATCGGTACGTTACGCTCCTTTGGACTAGCTCCTAGAAAGAGGCCATTTTATTAACAAGGAAACTTTATTAGGCTCTGCCGCTGGCATATTGAGGCCTGTTCGGTAAAGATTATCACAGTACTCTCACTTGTTTAATTTTAACTTTCAGTCTGTCCCCCTTTAACTCGCATGCCTTTAGATAGCATTTCACGTTTAAAGAATATGTTGTCAATTTCGGGAGGAGCCGCTGAGGCCTGCTGCGTGAAAGAGGCGCCGAGGCCCGGAGCTGAAGAGGCCGTTGGTAGGTTTTCCAGGGTTACGGTGGATAGGGCGCTTTCTAAAGCAAAGTTTCCGATTTTTGCGCTATGGCAAGCTAGCAAAGATCGTTAGGGAATTACTGGAAACGTAGAAACTTTTTGAATTCTGATTTTTCAGCCACCGCCGCCACCGTAGTCAAGGACGGAGCCGTTGAGGGCGCGAAGGTTGCCGGCGAAACCGCTGGTGAGTTTTATACTGGAGCGTATCGTAGCGGCAACCTAGGTTAGACCCTAAAATATGCTCCTTTTCAGCCAAGGGAGCCGGAGCCGTGGTTGGAGTTGCCCATTACCCCGGTGAATGCGTCGTTGATGGCGCCAAGGCCGTTGGAGAGACTGTTGGTAGGTCACCATTTAGAAAACCACTAACTTTCCCATTTTTTCAGCTGATGGAGCCAAGGCCGCCGGACACGGAGTTGGTAAGGAGTTTTACAAGCTTGATTTTGCTAATATAGTTAGAAACTATCTATAGTTATAGCTTACTGCTTAAATGAACTTGTAGTTTCGCATTTTAGAATCGCTTGATAGGCTTAATAGTCTGTTTTTAGAGCTTTACAAAAGCATTTTTAGATTATACTAACAAAATTAGATATTTCTATTTACCCTTCTTTTTGTAAACCGCTTGGAGCTTTCAGGGAGGGCTAGCACAGATCATTGGGGAAAATTCTCAATTAGGATTTAGCTATAAAGGGGCATACTAGCCGAGATTTTTGGGAATCTTCTTACCCTAGCTACCGGAAAGATTTTTAGCCATCAAGCTATCGAATTTAGAATTTAATCGCTTCTCATTCGACTCCCGGGCAGGCTAGCAGAGATCCTTTTGGAAAGGCCATCAGCACCACCCATTTGATCATCTTCTTAACGTTGGAGACGCACAAAAACCGCCAAACCCCCGTCCTATCCCCCAATTTAGCCAAGGGTGCCGGTGTCGCAGTTGGTGTTGCCCAGAATGCGGGCCAAGCCGTTGTTGAGGGCGCCAAGGCCGTCGGCGAGGGCATCGGTACGCCGTGTGCCTATGTACACCGTCCCCAAAAATGCTCTCTGTTTTTCTCGCTAACCCAAAGGAGCATGACCCTGACGGCATGGTGTGAAGCGGAAATGCGCGGATTTGAGAATTGACTTCACGGGCTTAAAATATGCCCCTATTTTCAGCCAAGGGAGCCGGAGCCGTGGTAGGAGCTGCTCAGGATGCCGGTGAGGCTGTTGTTGATGGAGCCAAGGCCGCCGGAGACGCCGTTGTGTACGGTGCCAAGAAGGCCGGACAGGGCGTTGGTCAGTTTTTATCGAGATCGCTCTCTCTCTCTTTCTCTGACTCTCTCTCCCTCTCTCTCTCTCTCTCTCTCTCTCTTTCTCTCTCTCTCTCGCAGTTCCGAATGAAGCTTTCTACCTCTCCCGCACTCTCAATCTCATGCTCAATTTCTCTGGCTTTCTCTCTCCCGCTCTCTCCCTCTCTCTCATCCGCCTCTCTTTTCAGCTGAGGGAGCCGGAGCCGCCGCTGGGTTCGTTGTGCGAACAGGCGAGGGAGCCGTCGACGTCGCCAAGGATGCCGGTGAACACGTTGCCGAGGGAGCCAAGACGGTCGCCCATGGAGCCGGTAGGTGGCTGGCAGACTAGCAGAGAGCCTTACGGAATGAAGGAACCTAAGCTCGTCTTTTCAGCCAAGGGTGCCGGAGCCGTCGTGGAGACCGCATCGCAGGGCGCCGAGGCCGTTGCTGATGGCGCGAAGGCCGCTGGCCGTGGAGTCGGTAAGTAATCTTTTTAATGCTTTGGGGTCGCACTTTTCGAGCGCTTTTGATGATAGCATGGGGGCTTTAGCGCACGGCGCCAAAGTGATGGGGGACGCGGCCGAGGAGGGCGGCCAGCTCATCGTCGCCGGGGGCAAAAAGGCAGTAGAGGGCGTGGGTGAGTCGTCGTGAGAGTGTGGTGCTTCTAAATCCGGGAAAAGCTGGGTGGAATCCACTGGAAAGCGAGTGGACTACGGTAATATGGGCACATTTCAGCGTATGGTGCTGGAGTCGTTGGAGGAGCCGTCGCGAAGACTGGTGAGGGAATCGTTGAGACCGGGCGTGACGCGAAGAATGCTGTCGGTAAGGATTTTAATAGTTTTTTCTAAAAATAGGAATTAAAAATAGATACCTTTGACTTGTATTCTTTTGTTATAGATCATATCGATTAAAATTTAGATAAATCTAGTTAAAAACCGCCTAATTTTTTCTCTGAGTGAAGAAATACCTAGTATAACGTAATATTAAGTGTTTAAATAGTGTTTTTTCACTTTAAATAGTTTAAATACGCGAGAAAAAGCAACATTTTGTAAGTTTTTTCGAAAATCGACCACTTTAGCTCGGAAAATCAGTGATTTTTGCATTTTGTCGATTTTTCTAAAGTTTTTGCGTTTAAGAATAATTAAAACAAGAATTTTGCTGCTAAAACACTTTTAGAAGTTCATTTTATGCCCTTCTATCTCATGATAACCCTAAAAACACGCACTTTCCAGGCCGGGGCATCGAGAACACCGGCGAGGCCATCCAGGACTAATTTATCGTCCGCCTAGCCACAAACAACAACATGACATACCACCCACCCGACAACGAGTATCCCCTGTACATACCATCCCAGTGCTCAGCTTTAATTATTTTTCCCCCATTCACCGAAAAAAAACACTGAAAATCCTCCCCCAAAAAATATTTTGCACCGATTGTACCCGATAATAAACGATTTTTGAGAGAGAACTCGCCAATTTGCAGAGTACGCTGTTACAGAGAACGGGCACACGTGAGGGCTTATCGGGAATGGTTGGCGACCTGAAAAGCCGGACTTATCTTGCGGGGCTTTGGACGAAGCCGGCGGAGTGTGACTCAATGTTTTGGTCATCTTCAAAGGGATTGGATCAAGCAAAGCCTTAGGCTTAGGCTCAGGCTTAGGTTGGGCTTAGGTTTGACCTTAGGCTTTGGCTTAGGATAGGCTCAGGCTTAAGCTTAGGCTCTGGTTCGGCCTAGAATTAGGTTTATACTTAGACTTAGGCTTCGCCAGGCTTGTGATGTGATTTTGAGAACATTGCCAAGGCCATACTAGCAACTCCAGAACTCCGGATATGCCCGAATATGACCGTTCTGCTGGAAAATAAGCGCCTGGCGCTAGCTGGTTATATACATTCACATCCGGCGGCTGGTTAGCCAACTCTTTTGGGAGTGATGATGCCATAAGGTCAATTAATTAAAAGCATAACTCGGGCTCGCGTCGCTGCGCTTATCAAACCGAACCGTTCGGCCCCATGAAGCCGCTTTTATCTCGCCCTGCTGCAGTTTTTTGGAAAAACATGCCCAGTTAAGTCGACGGGAATTAGCAAAAAATGAGCTCACAGTTTAATTTGACAGGCAGAGTTGACTTAAAAATATATGTTTCACTTCTGCGACGCACAACGTATTAACTCTTATCTGTTTTACGGCGTAGTATGATGTGCGCCATTTTTTGTCCAGAAATAATTTATCTTTTTCCCGGGTACCACACAGTTTCATCAAGCCTAAAGCGGGGTCGCCAAAGAGCGCCCGGGCGATATGCTATGAGAAAATTACACAATGCCCACAGAAACTAATAGTAAACAAAGGAGAAGGATAAAGGATTGCAAGTGTGTCCGAATATTTTTGAGGAAACCTGTACTCGGTATCAATCATCATGTGGTGTGGCCAAAGAGCGTCGATGAGCGATGAGTTGGGCTTCGAGCAGCCCGGCAGTGGCTCGCGGTCTTCGTAGTAGTTGTCGATGTCATTACATCTGTCACCATGACAGCAGCATATTTGCAACTTATATCGACCAGTCGTCGTGTCCTCGCATGTTTTATTCGAGATACGCTGGAAAAATGGCTATATTGCCATTCATAAATCTTTAGTATGCGACTCGGCTGAACTCCAGATACCCCCCCCCCTTCCGCCGGCACCCAACTTTTGTATCTCGGCTCCCTGTTCATCTACAGGTGTGTAAATAAACCAAAATGGTCGTCTTGCTCTGGCGAGTATTTTGGTACACTTTACACACATGTAGATGAACAGGGACCAGATACAAAGAGAAGCTGGGGGTATCTGGAGTCTTACCTACTACTCACTAATGCTTAATTTTACCCTGTGAATATGGCAGTACATCGCGGCGCATCCTGGTGATGACGTACAACGGTCTGCGTGCAACTGTCAAAAGCAGCAACCAACTCACAGCCACGCGAGCAAAGCTTCAAGCCCTTGTTGGCGCCATGGCAAACCGTCTTTTCCCCGTTGGCTAGCGGTAGTACCAAGAATGGCAACCTAGGAAAATTGTATGATATTGAGAGTACATGAAAGGGAACACATCTTAATTAGATACTTACAACAATATTGCGTAGTAGAATTTCATCACGAGTTGACTGATTAAGTATTGCGGTCAGGTTTTAGGGGCCAGCGCCTATTTCTCAGAGCCAACCTTATATATGGTATGGTTATATATTCTTACCACTGAAAACGTGACCTGGCGAGATAAAACGAAAATGTGTCATGATAAGGCGCCAGTCGATGAGGGCATAATATGCACGTTGTTTGTACCGACTCCGACTTCTTGAGGTCGACTCCCCATCGTCGACTTCCGTCGGGTTTGAAGAAGCTGCAGCACATGGGAATCGCTCAGTCGGTCGGCCGACGGATAACATCCTCGTTTGTATTTTTTCACTTTTATCTGTTCTAGTGTATGAGTTGAGAAACAATTTATCCTTTTCAGACTACTCGACATCAGGAAGAACGTGTGGTGGCCAAGCGTTACTCAGCACTAGTTTGGGCTTCTGGCAGCCCGGAATCGGCTCCCGATCTTCGTAGTAGTTGCGGATGTCGTTACATCTGTGGCCGTGGCAGCAGCACCAGCGAACCTGGTATCGTCCATTTGCGCCGCTCGTCGTCTCCCCGCACGTCTCATTCGAGAAAACCTGGAAAATTTATCGTATTGCTATTCACAGAGTTTTAGTATGCTACTCACTAACGCTTGGTACATTACCTTGCGAAAATAGCATTTCGTCCCGGCACAACCTTGACTATGGTGGACAACGGTCTGCGTGCACGTGTCAAAAGCGGCAATCAGCTCGCAACCGTGCGCGCAAAAGTTGAGGCCCCCGTCGCGGTCCAAACAAACGGTCTTTTTACCGTTGGCTAGCGGTAATACCAGGAATGGCATCCTATAAAAAAATATTATGATCTTTACAAGACGCAAATGGAATATTATCTCTTTAGGTACTTACAACAACATCGCGAAGTAAAATTTCATAGCTATATGCGTCTTGAAGTCGATAGCGGTCGTGGAATGCGGGGAAATGTCAGCTTTTATCAGCTGTGGCTTCTGCTGCATCGGGTCAAGCTTATATACACGATATTCTTACCACTGAAAAATGACCTCGGCAGGGTAATAAAACGGAAATTTGTCATGATAAGGCCGAGGTCGATGAAGACATAATATTCGGGTTCTGTGGAGGCGTTGTGGCGTCGAAACAGGCCCGATGACATTGGTACCGAACCAATTAAAATTCTATCCTTGGTGCTAATGCACTTGGGGGGGTAGTCCGGATTTTGACTTCAAGATGCTTCAAATGCCGTTTTGTAAACCCGAAACCTTCGAAAAAGCTAAGCCAAGCCCAAGCCTAGGCTTAGCTTCATACAAACGAAGTTTAAGCTTCCTTGAGCCAAGCTAAGCTTACAAGTTAGCGCTAAATGACCCGGTTTTGACCTCCTGAGGCAATTTAAAGCTCAAGTTAAGAGTAGCTTGGGCTTAAGCTTAAGCTAAGCCAAGGCTAAGCTTAGTTAAAACCCCCATGATGGGCTGAGTGAATCACGCGACACAAAAACAACGTATTCTTACGCATTTTTATGACGATCGGTCAGTAATTGGGCTCCGATAACGGTTGCATATTTTACTGCCAAAAGGAGGGTATTAGTTTCAATTCGTCAGCTGTACGAAACCGGAAACTACCACTCGAGATGAAGAACTTTTTGGCGCTAGGGTGAGTGAATTTTGACACTACAGTATCAGGTTGGAACGTAAGTCCTGTCGCCGAGATTTTGGAAGGCTGGCTAAAATCGCAGATAGCTCCATTCTGGACATGCGACATGTCATTTTGTAGCTCTCGACCTGATCCGTTTCGGTACAAGGGTCCTGGACCGTCAAAATCAAGGACAGCCGAGATACACGCTCTAGAAGTTTTTCTCAAAATCACCGAAAAGTGTTTTTGCAAGTTATCTCTGTATAGAGCCATTTGCATGCGACACCATTAACGCCAATCGATAGCTCTCGAGGAGTAGATATCGATAGGTGTTGAGATCATCAAAATTGGACACTGGGTGGCCGAGATATGGCCCCTTGAAGTTTGGCCCATTCCTTAGAACTTTTCTCGAAATCCCATACATTTCCAAAAATTTGACGGCCCGGTGCCGAAATTGCCGCTTTATTTTTGGACTAGCGGAGCGGATTTTGAAAAAATGTATGGGAAATCGGGAAAAATTCTAAGAAATGGGCTAAACTTCAAGGGGTCATATCTCGGCCATCCAGTGTCCAATTTTGATCATCTCAACATCTATCCATATCTACTCCTCGAGAGCTATCGATTGGCGTTAATGGTATCGCATGCAAATTGCTCTATGCAGAGATAACTTGCAAAAACACTTTTGCGCAATTTTGTAAAAAAACTTCTTTGGCCTGTATCTCGGCCCTCCTCTATTTTGGCGGCCCGGGACCCTCCTCCCATAACGATTCAGGTCGAGAGCTACAAAATGACATGTCGCATGTCCAGAATGAAGCTATCTATAAATTTAGCCAGCCTCTCAAAATCTCGGCGACAGAACTTTCGTTCCAACCTGATAGCTTACCAGTAGATGATGGACTAAGGTCACGAACCCTAGTTTTAGTGTCGTCGTCTGCTTTTTGGTGCCTTCAGTAAGCTGTACTTGGTGTTATGAAGATCCGAAGACCGTAACGTTCTGTCCATTTGGGTGTCATATCGGAATGGCCTACGATAGATGCTCTGAGGGTGTCGTCGTGTTGCAGCTTGGATGCGCAGTATTGCAATGTCTTATTCAAAAGGTACGAAGCCATGAAAAGAAAAGAACGACGCCTTGAACCAGGACACGTACCAGGAATATCAAGCTTTCCTGACAATTATCTTTAGTCGCTCGGGGTGAAAACATGCCTTGCGACGACGAGCGGTTCCGATGACCGGTACATGGTACGAGGATGCTGCTGTGTAGGATCAAGATGTAACGACCCCAGCGAATATTTTGACGGCCCCGTACTTACGCATCCGAAGCCCGGATGCTCTACGCCAAGGCGAAGCGCGATATTGTTTGGAATCATCTGGCCACCGCAATTTACGAAGAACCGGAAATGAAGCATTTAATATACTACACTGTATTTACCTTGGAGGTGCGTTGTACCGATTCATGATATTGTCTTTGTATGCATCAACGTTGTAAGGCATTAAATTTGTGCTAGGACATTGTGCAACGATAAAGTAGCAAGTACACAATATACCATTC